CCAGGCTTTGCAGGTCATGGCTCTGTCTTGAGTAAAACCCTGCCATGGGCTGGCATTTTCTTAGACATTTTCTTAGGATGACTGCTACTTTGCAACTTCACTGCAGGCTCATAATGGAAGTTAACAGGGCAAGCGCAATATCTGACACTTGCAATGGTGATTACACAGGCCTTGCTTTGAGCATCGTCTGACTGCCATTGCACATGGCTTTCTTTGCGGAGTGTTGGAATTATAACATGGGTTGAGGCCTGAAAGATCAGTGGCTACTTCAATTGCTCAGTGAGAACCTTAGAGAAACACTACCAGCTGCGTGGGTTTCAAGTGTTTATCTGTCATCTCTGTCCACATCACCTGATTTATAGTGTTCACCTGAGGTCAGCTTGCAAGTGTCCTCCTGTAAGCTGAGTGACTGCCTGGAAGCCTGATGTCTGCCTGTAAGCCTGGTGTTGGGGAGGAGTGCTGCTCAAGCCATGGCAGCCCCAGGGCTTCCTTTGGGCTAGGGGACTGCTCCCCAGGCCTGAGGGGCAGAACAGAACACACAAAAGGGAAAGCAAAGCTACTGCCAAACTCCTTGTTACTTAGACAAAAGCAGCTGTCTGCTCGGCTACATTTCAGAGTGGGACATGTGAACTAATACATTTTACAAAAAGAGGAAGAAGTACTTTCTAATGCCAGGACCCTAATATTTATTCTAATGAAGAAAATAGAAACTCAACATGATATTTCACTCCATCTGGATGAAATCTATCCATCTGCAGAGACTTAACTTTGAAAGCAAGCTGAAGGCCTCTGACTTGTATATTTAACTTCTTTTAACTGCCTCTTCTTTCAAAGCGGTGCCATCAAAGTGCCCCGTCACAGCTCTAAATGCACAGCCTGAGCAAACACGGGTGCTCAGCAGAGCTGGACACAGTGGGCACTGACATACACAATCTGCACCCCACTCAGCTTGAGTGAGTGGCTTTTCGTGAACTTGGGTGAGACAGAGCAGCACGGGGCTATTTCCGATGACCTGTTGCAAGTTGTTTCCAACGAGCCGTTGCAGTTTCTCACTTTTAGCAACCGGGTGCCGAAGGAACCACAGAGCCCACGAGCCCCGCTCGGGGGGCAGGGCAAGGCAGCCTCCGAGAGCACGGCCCGTCGCGCCGCAGGTGGCTGCGGCTCGGTGCCTGCGGGCGGTGCGCTGGGGCAGCACCCGGCTGGCACGGAGCGGCCCGGGCCGCTGCAGGCGCTCCCTCCGCTCTAGCCGGGGCTGCACTGACACCTAGCGGGGCTCCCCGCCCCGCGCAGCGCAGAGTCGCCGCCCTACGCGCTCCCTTCAGCCCGGCTGCTGCGGCTCTCCTGGCCGCGCTCGGCCCGCGGAAGCCTGTCAGCCGTAACAGATGAGTGTGGCCCCATTTGTCCCGTCTGTTTGGTCCCGAAAGCAGAGCGCCGTGCCGATTTCCATCTCTCTTCTCGCTACAGCAAAGCCTCTCTGTCAGTACTTCGTCTTTTTGTTTCCATCTGCTACTTTAGGAATGTTTGGATCAAATATTGTGCAGTAGGCAAAAGAGCGCAGTTGTGAGGTACATGAGATAGTGAGATAACTGCTGCCTCGGGTAACAGATGTGCTGATAGAGTGGTCTTCCAGAGCTGCCATGTAGTTTAATTCTTACTTGGAGCTTAAGAAAGGCAGTTTGGGGCACATTATAGTAAAATATCAGTTACATCTGCACGAAGCTTAAGCAATACCTCAACGTTTTAAGTTCTCTAAATCTGTTCTTGTGAAACAATTCAGCTGGAAACAGCAACAGCCTGAAGTGAATGGGATGGAGAATGCTGCTTACGCATAACAAGTGAATATCCCAGCAGTAAGGAGATGGCATCTTTCTTCCACGGCTTCCAAACAAGGCGTGTGTGTATTTCCCTTCAGAAACTGACAACGGCACTGCCTTCCCTGGCAGGAGCACTGGCACCCTGCACTGCTGTACTTCAGCAGCTCCATCCCGCTTCCACCCACTGCCCCTGTGTCCCCAGCCCCTCCCCTGCTGCCTGTATCCTTGAATAAACCCAAGCCCACCCCTTGGAGACACATTCAATTGCTGCATTCGGAAGGAGGGTCTCCCACAGGACTTGAGATTCACCCCTGCCTACCAAGATGATATCCCAGAAAACTAATCTCTGGCATGACAGCTCATTCAGCGCTCTGGAAAATTTACCTGCCCCGAGCTCCTCTTTAAGTAATGACCTGACATTTGTTCTGTAGAGGGAGACAAAGCCCAGCCTGATGAAAACGGTTGGCAGCTGCTTTCATTTGTGCCATTCAGAAGCAAGATGATAATTTGTCCGCAGGGACCCATCACTTTCTTGGCAGACAGACCTGTCCAGCGTGGTGCTTCTGCATCGGCTCTTACCCTCTGCCTACCTCCAGCCCCAGCTCGAGCACTGTGTGCAGAGCAGCAGCACTCAGGGCAGACTCAAGTGAAGCTGACTGCAAAGCATTGTAAAGGATTCTGTGATGCAGGAAACTGAGAGTTGAGATCACAGGTGAATCCAGTGATGATACCAACTAGAGGATATTGGAAAAGACACTTTTCTCAGGCCTATGCTGATGGATGCATTACCTATTGCTTAGAAAAGAGCTTCCAGCATTTCTGGATGTGGCTTATTAAAAACTTTACCCAAGCAATAAGCAATGGTCAAAAAGGCAAGCAGTATTACAGATTATTGAGCAAGCAAAGCAAGCCAGCAACACGATTCTAGATGAACTGGGAGATCACCTTCTGTGTACAATGTATGGCTATCATTGCCTTGAATTGGCTGCAGCAGAACTGTGAACTGCTCAGATGAGAGTGATTGGGATGGGAAGAAAACCTTTGGTACAGGGAGAGGTTAAGGTAATATTGCTGGTAACAATGATGATCCATAAAACCATAAATGGGATCAGGTTTTATTTTTAAGGAATCCCTAGATTCCTGCTGCAGTGTTGGATGCTTTCTCTTTACCCAGTGAAAGAGCTGGTCATAGCAGCACTCCATAGAGATGCACATGGAGAAGTTGAGGATGATGAGCTGCAGCGAGTTTCCCTCATTTAGGACAGAAAAGCAAAAGCCTGTTAGTGCTGCAACTGCTCCAGCAACTACCTGCCAGTGCATTATCTGCTTTTCCACCTGAGCCACAGATGAATGTGTCTAATTATGCTCATTTCAGCAAGGTCAGGCTGTAGTACCAGCAGTTGGGCTCCTGTGTGATGTCTTCTCCCGTTTACACGCTTGTGTGATGCTACAGCCTGTCCTGGCCACCAGGCTGGAGGTGGCTTCAGCTTGGGTGGCAGAGGGCAGGGGAGCTGTTGGTCTGCCTCAGGAGATACAGAGCCATATAAATAGAAGCACTGCCACCCTGCCAAGGTTCAAGGGATAATGCAGCAAAGTAGTGCTGAGCTGAGTGTTTGTCGGGCTATAGCATGGCTTCATGTACAGTGCTACTTAATGGCTTAGTCACATCTAGGCACACTAGTGTCAAATGTCTTTTAAAGCTGTGCAAGTTCGGGGCACTCATGTAGGTTAGGCTGATGCAGATTTGCCTTTCCATTGTATTTAATATACTATCTCATGTGAATAAAATTCACCCATTCCTATACATGTGAAGTGCCGAGGTGCTCTGCTCCCCACAGCCTCCCAGCCCCCCGGCTGGAGCAGCTGCTTCCCATAGGTCCTCTGGGATGGGCACCTCTTGCACTCCTGACTCCAACCCCAAGAATAAGAGAGCAGAGATCACGCAGAATGGAGGGGAAGAGATGACCCGTGGCCATTAGCTGGCCTTTTCACAATGTCATCTAAATTCACCTTCTCCCAGACACATAGCCTCATAAGCTATGTGACAGGTGATGAAAAAATTTTTTTTATTTTGGAGGTGTTCAACTGAAAAATAAAACCGTATAACAGGATCAGTGCAGATTCAGTCGTGCCCAAACTTTACCCTGACACGATCAGGAAACACTGCAAACATCAGATGCTCTCTGCAACTGGGATTTCAGATACATTTCCAGCAGGGCTTTCTCCCCTCCCCATGAAAACAGACACACATTCGCATTTAACAACTAATTGATTTATTTAACAATACAAATTTCTTTCTACTGCATGTTTTAGCAGAGAGAACTTGAGAAACAAAATTAGCTTTTCTTTTTTCTTTTTAAAGTTTAAATGTTTACACAAAAACAACCTTTACTTCAGTAAATATAAAATTTACACACAAAAAAAAAACTACATTAAAAAAGAACAGAATCATGACAAACCAACAAAAAAAAAAAAAAAGAAAAAAAAAGAAAAGAAAAGGAAAAGGATGAGAATTCAGTGTAAAGGATCCAATTGCAAGGAAGGCAAGATGGGGCAACACTGACGAGGCATCACACTTGTACACCTCAGTAGTTTAAGTTGTCAGTACAATACAAAAACAAAATACATTAAAATTAGAATTAAAACCTGTCTTTTCTTTATACCATATTATTTCATGATATAAATATCTGTAAATTCTGTAGGCAACATAATTAACACATGAAATACATAGTTTGCTCTTCACTGGAAAGTCACCGGCGCGGTGTACGAGCACTGCGCAGCACAGCAGTGCACTACTGGACAGCAGTGAGCAGAGTGTAGATGTCCAGCCCGGATGCGATAGCCCCTTGTTGCTTTGCCAATCTGTGCTATTTCTCACATGTTCAACGACACAATGAGAAACTCTGATCACCATCAGCAGTGATTTCCAGCACTTCATTTCCTGGCATTAGTCTGTTACCCAACTTAGTCATATTCACCTGCCAGATCCCCTGTTTCTCATTCCCTTTTGCACTTTATAACCTGAAGTCTAAAGCTATCTTGTAGCTATCAAGAGAGACTGGCTTCTAGGTTGAGATATTTGGGATACGCAGTTCTTCAAGCCACCTTCAGGAATCTGTAGAAATATTTAAAGTAGGGTGGACAATTCATGATCAAAGGTTGTGATACAAAAAACAGGGATCTATATAGTGATGGCTAACTTTAGATTTAATCTTTAACATTTTTCTATTGCTTTAGTATTTAAACTTAACATTCATTTTTCATATATTAAGTGAGCAGAGCATCCTACTGACGGAAGTGCTACATTATCTCCAAAAACACCAGGCAGTAAAGGGGACAGTAAACTTTAAAATCAGGTGTAATTTTAAATATTATTTAAAGGGATCAAATGTCTTTTTGTATAATCAATAGTGTGACTGGCAACCTACAAAAGCTAAATTATAAAACTATTGGTGACTCTACTGTATGTGCTATAAAGCTGTATCTTCATTACTTACAGATGTTACAAAATTTCCAAGCCAGAAATTGAAGAAGGGAGGGGGAAAAGTAGTCTAAAGTTTTACATCTTGCATTTTCACTAACAATGTTTTTTTTTTCTGTCATAAATATCTGATGAAGTTTATTCTACTCATTTCTCTTCTGGACAGACTAGTGTTTAACCGTGCTTTGGAAGACCATTTTCAATGGACAATTGTGGTTCTCCAGATTAGCAAGCCCAACTTGCTTTACTCTGACAAAAAACACCAGACTATCTTTAACTGGGCTCTGGTCCTGCAAAAAGGAGTTTGTAGCAAGACCAGGCCATCTATTACAAGAACAGGTCTGGCCCTGAAGCAACCAGCTACATTAGCTTTTGGAGGAAGCATATGCAATGCTCTCATTGCAACTTGAAAAAGAGCTGAGTAGTTAAGGAAATTATGGAAATGACATTTGTTCTGTAAAAACCAAACCAAACCAAACCAAAAAACCCAGGGAAAACTTAAACAATCCACAGGTGTGCATTAAACATTTAATAGCAAGCCTTTGCTTATGTATATTAATTTAAAGATTATCCACAGGGATCTGTGATACATTAGCCCTGCCTTGTTACTATAATTAAATTTTTTCAAATATTAATTTAAAATAGGAAAACAAAGAAACTACTCCTTGGGGAACATGTTTATTGTGTTTGAGATGATACACTGGGTGCTCTCTGAGCTACAAAGGGAAAAAGGAAATCCTTTCATTACAAACTGACAAAGGTAAAAGTTAAAACAGTTTTCACAACAGCATGTACCACATATTGGAAATAGATCTGGGTTTAATACAAATGACATAATTCCTAGTAATCTACAGCTACCTTTAATAACTTCATACAGATAATGAATTAGGCTAAAATGCACTATAATATTTGGTTGACTTCAGGAACAGTATCCTTAGTACATCACAAAATACATTTTGATATCCCAAAGAAGCAAGACTTGCAAGTAGGCGTTTTAAACATAACTAATCTACAGCTACAAATTTCTACTCTTGATAGCATTTACCTTTTTGGGAGGCAATATCCCAGTCTTCAAAAGGATAAAAGCAGAGTAGAATCAGTATAACATATACACAGAAGTCCGTATTGTAAAGGCTATAAAGATTTGTTGCACACTGTAAAGTTGCCTTCTGCACCTTCACACTGCACAAGTAGTTTGTCGTTTATGTTGCATATCTCTTGGTCCACTGTCTGGCTATCCTGTCATGTTCTGCTCTGTTGGTCAGATACTGAGTGGCTATGCTTCCAACCAGAGGATCAGCTGTAAAGGGCAGGAGAAGATGCATTAAAATTACTCCACAATAAGCAAAACAAAACAAAAAAAAACAAAGAAAGAGAAATAACAAACCAACTCCCCTAAAAAAAAACCACACACACAAAAAAAAAAACACAAAATCCAGCCCTATTGTCATTTAAAATGCATAATCTATTTCAAAATAGAATCTTTGTTAGGACAGAAAATGCTATGAATTGTAGTGAGGCTCTTCAAAGATATAGCACAGAACAAACAGAAAAATAATGAATCTGTTTTGGTTACCTAGTTATTAGTGTGTCAAATGGCAGGCAGACACCTGTGTCCAAAAGTTACAGCTGCTCCTTTCAGCCAAAACCTGACAAAAGGTGTGGTGGGAAGTTTTGTAAGAGCACCAGCAATCCAGATACCATTTTGTCAGGTGCAATTTGTCCATATTTTTTAACAATTGATGTTTTGAAAATAAAAACCTTCCTAGAAAACCTTCTACTCTTTAGAAGACCTAATGTTCTAAAGGAGGGTAGACATCTCCTGTACAGACACGTATGCTGCCAGTTGGAGGTAGTGAAACAACCGATTGGTATAACAATTTCCTTGTGAGTCACAGGAAAAAAAAACAAAAAAAAAGAAAAAAAAAGTAGTTTAATCAAAGAGATCAAGATCCTCGTAAGCAGAGCCTACACTCTGGGGCTGAAAAGCTCCATGCACTGACTCCAGGATGCATCATCCACCAGCCACCCTCTGCCTGATGGAAACTTACCTGTGAGGGGCATCATCTGAAATGTGCCTTACCACTGTCCTTATGGAGGACATAATGAATTGCACCATCACTGCTTTCCCCAGCCAGAGACCTCGCATTCCTTTAGAGGGGCTGCTACACTAGATGAGTGCAGGCTGGCTTCCTCCCATTACAGTGCTGGAGTACATTAGGCATGAGGATGGCAGGACATACACCAAGGGATCCAAGAGTCATCAGAATTCTGTATCAAAGGGACTAATCCAATTCTTCCTGCTCATTACCAGTCTCCTGTGAATGACCTGTCATCTTGGCACCACCTCTTAGTTCTCTGCTGACCGAACGCAATTAGTGTTCATTACACAACAACGCTTGCCATGCAGTTGCTGCTGAGAATTTTGCTGCTTCTAGTTAAGCTCCCCTCTTCCCAACAGGAATAAGGAACTCTTTTTGAAAGATAAAATCTCTCTAAATGTTGTCACCTGCACATTTCAATTGCTGTCCTAAGAGGAGGAGGCTTTATGCAACCCCTTCCAACCTGAATCATTTATGAGTTTGTAACTTTGCCACACTACTGGATGTACCATTCATTTGCTACAGCTTTTGGGATACAGACCTTCAAAGAGATGACTCCGTTTTCTCCAGCACACCTTCCAAATAAATGGGCTTAATGCTATTTTCTGTTGGGCCACAGGACTGAAAAGCATCATATCCAACCAGGAGCGTTTCAGACTTGATTTGATTTCAACTTTGATTTGATGTAAATACAATCAAATATACAAATTATATTCCATGGAAAGTAATTAAAATGACTAAGAGATGATGCCCAGTAAACTGTCAACTCCTTACCCGGGTTGCAGTCTGTCAAAAGAGAACAAATAGACAGCAGGACCTTTGAAATAGTCAAAGCAGGGCTCCAGTTGTCCTTCAGGATATCCAGACAGATGACTCCCTGACTGTTGATGTTGCAGTGATAAATTCTGGTGCGGAAAGTAACCTGGAATTGCAGCACAAGAGACAGAAAAAGTCATTCAGTGTTGCCATGGAGCACTGCCCCTAGTCCCTGAGGGCTCTTCTCTGTTCTGCAGAGTCTCTGGGAGGCAGCTTCTCTACTCACTTTCTAAAGCAACATTCTGCAACAGAAGGATGCATATTCATTATAGTCACAGCTACTTACAAGAAAGTACCAAGGAGATCTTTGGTGTATGGACTGCTCTCACACAAGTCCTTTGTCTGGTACTCACAAAAATGAGGGTCTACTCTGTAGTCCTGCATGCAAATTCATGAACACACTGCATGTCATGAACTGTCTAATCACAAACAAAACTTTACTGAGGCTACCAAAGCTGAAAAAGTAAACACATCTTGGATGCATCTGAAGCATTAGTTGATCTTTTCCTTTCTTTCCAAATCCAAATATAGTCCATGAAAATTAATATTTTAAATTGGAATGTTCTATTATTTATGTCCAAAGTAGCAGTGAAATCTTTTCAATACCTTTCAGTAAAATATAACATACATCTAAAACAAAACACCCTGAACCAACACCATCCTTGTTTTTCTATATTACAGACTAGTTTTGTTAAAATACATATTATTTTATAGAGATCAGAAGTTAGAAACATTTAAACACCTCAATTACACATAGCACAAGATGAGGAAAATTTTCTTTCTCACACTGATGAGGGGTGGGGGTTGGGGGTGGAATCTATGACTGTTCTTGAAACTACTGACAGTTCAAAAATGCTCTTTAAAATAATCCAAATGATTGTAATGAGAAATTTGACCAAATTTCAGCATAATTTCATTATAACAATCTTAACTCATTGAACAGTGAATTTTGAGAATTTTGGATGAGTGTGAAGTACATGGAGGGCATGTTGTTCTTTGTGCTGTAATGCTTTTGGGAATGAAAAAAGGATGATGGATTTACATTAACAATGCAATAACCACAGGACCCTCAAGTTGCAGAAATGTTCTGTGGTAGACTGTATTTGCCATTTGTGAATGTTGGCAGTGTCCTTTCTGATGCCGTGCTCAAGCTTCGTAATTTGGCATTAAGTGAAAAGAGAATGACCTCTAATGTCTTTGACACCTGTTAGGAAATGATTCCTTAAATATGCATACTGTTTCTCTAAGCAAGGAAATGAAACTTTAATTGAAGTTAATATTGGTTTCATTTTATAAAAATAACTTTTACAGAAAAATATTATCAAATCAATCTGCTGATCTAACTAGTAGTATATTTTGACATTTTACAATAATGGAAGTCATCACAGTAATTACACAACTTCAAGTCACAACACCACACTTCGTCTGCCTGTCTAATATTACTTTTGCTGGCTTTTTGGTGTTGTATTTTTTTTTTGGCTACCAGTAATGTAAAAATATACAATATACAATCTGGTTCATAATACAGAGAAGTTTATTTTACATATATTTTAGTAGCTTGAATGAGATGAAGGAAGCATAAGAAGGTCTCACGTGGTCTTCAATTAAAATCAGTGTACTTCACGTTAACTCTTTATCAGAAGGATGATGTCATTTATGGCTTGGAAAAAACAGGAAATCAGCATTGATTGTGATAATAAAAAAATAAATTAGACACAGCATTTTCTGGAATAGCAAGCCAAGATTTTGGACCATTAAGTTTTTAAGACCATAAACAAGTCTGACTGTCAAAAAGTGATGAGCAGTCATCCACTGCAAGTTAAATGTTTCTTGTATGCTAAAGAGCAAACAAACAACAAATAGCACAATAAAAACCTTACCCTTACCTTTGGTGGCTTGAATGGATAGTCAGATGAAAATGTGATATCCAGGAAAAAAACGCCCCCCTCATATACAGAACCCGGAGGTCCAAGTATAGTTGATCTCCATTCATAAATGTTATCTCCTTTAGGGCCGGCACTGCAAAAAAAAAAAGAAGAAAAAGAAGAGGGGAGAGAGAGATGAGAGAAAAAAAGAGCGTCAGAAACACCTTTGTGAGAGGTATTGTACGAATTTCCTTCTATACTCATTTTGTTTTAATTCTAACCACTGATACATCCTCAACATCTCTCTGATTCCCAGCTAATTTCAGTATTTTAAACAGACATGGTAGCTAAGCTCTCTGCTGTCCCTGGGTTCTCATGCCTCTGGAGTTAAAGCATGCAATGGAGTGCCCGTGAGTGGCTGGACAAGGCTGATGAGGGGTCTGTAGAGCAGGCCTTATGAGGAGCGGCTGATGGAACTGGGATTGTTTAGTCTGGAGAAGAGGAGGTTCAAGGGTAACCTTATTATTCTCTTCAGCTACCTGAAGGGTGGTTGTGGTGAGGTGGGGGTCGGCCTCTTCTCCCATGTAACTAGCAATAGGACTAGGTTGTGCCAAGAGAGGTTCTGGTTGGATATTAGGAAAAACTTCTTCTCGGAGAGGGTATCCGGGCATTGGAATGGGCTGCCCAGGGAAGTGGTGGAATCATGGGAGCCTGGAGGTGTTCAAGAAACATGCAGATGTTGTACTGAAGGAGACGGTTTAGTGAGAAATATTGATGATAGGTGGATGGTTGGACTGGATAATCTTAGAGGTCTTTTCTGAACTTGGCGATTCTATGATTCTATGATTCTATGACAGTCAGTCTAAAGATACCACCAGATCTGTTCTCTGAAGTATATGGTTGCTTTGAGCTTCTATGTTGTGTTTTTTCCAATTACATGATATCCCTGCACAGAAGGAATTGCGTATCTCAACCACCCTCTTCTTCTCAGAGCATTAAATCGTTCGTGCTTTCACACAAAATGTTACCTACAAATATGCTGCTAGGCATTTTTCACATGCTACAGAGTGAAATTAGCACCCTTGAGTAGGAAAACTGGGGATGAGAAGGATAGGATTAAGTAACCTGGAACTGAATTTCTCACAGAACTGTCAAATCAAATAGTTTTCTTCATTATTTGTGTATGTTATGCCTCAAAGCAATTGGCATTTAGACAACTAGCCAATAATAGTTTATTTTAAGAAGTACAATACTGAACACATTTCTCACTAGAGAAAGAGCTGTCGCATAACAATTTAATTAAATTTTTATAAGAAGGAATAATGAACAAGCAGTTTCTCAAATGCTTCAACACCATACTTCATGCTATTATAACACAGTAACCATCTATACCTCACAAAATAAATACTTAAATAAAAGCAAAATGTTGTTTCCTGAAGCCAATCTCTGTAGAAACTAAACCAAGGTCCCACAAAAAGTCCTTGAGTCCAAGCTGCTGAGATCCAAACAGACTGCTGTGAACAACACTGAGCTCACAGAGGCTCTGAGAGTCCATCACATCCCCACATACAGGGCAACAAAATGACACTGCAAAGATTCTTTCAGTTCTCCCCATTCAGCAGCCTCCCAGGCACTACCGACATCTTCCTCCCTCTCTCTGAAGTCCATGGAACAGAAATCATCAAATATATAAAGTAAGGCCTAAGGCAATAAGATGTAGGCAGAGAGTTTGTGGTTTCTGGCACTGCTCAACACTCAGAGGCCTTCTTACAAGCCTTCCTGGTGATATGGCTTTTCCCATGTCTTGTCATCTCATACATTTGTCATACATATGGCTGCAGTCTATAAAATGGCATGTTGGACACTCATCCTTACTAGGCAGCCAAATATGTGGAAACATTCATCAGGGAAAAGGAATACGAGCAGTCTGTACTATGCATCTACAATTCCTGTACCAAAAACTTGGCTATTTTTACATTAAGATCATGTTCAAGAAATAACCAAAAGCTGATTCCAATTATGAATTGACTTCCAACTATTAATTTCCCAAAATGTTTTTTATTTTATGTCTACTTCATGTCCTAAATGTCTAAACTATTGCAGGCCTTTTATTAACAGGACAAAAATAATCAAGGATTTTGGCTGACATCCTATTTAATTTAAAACAAAAAGGTCATTTGATGGAACTGCAGCTATTTTCCTGTTGCCAAAATGAAAGTAGGTAACAATAACTGTGCTGGCCTCCAGAGTACAGCTAAGAAAGGAAGATTAAAAGTGTTGTCAAAATGAAATTTGGGTCTGAAATTACAGATCTTAGCTTTCTGTTTGCAATGCATGCACAGAAGTGAAAGAAAAGCTGTAGATATGTTTTAGGAAAAAGGGAAATCCAGAGGCAAGGAGGGGCACGTTCAATGACACAGTGAACCATTTGTCCCCCAGTCACTCCAAGAGATAATTCCATGCATGCTCTCTATAAAGCAATTAGTGTATGAACTGAAAATATTGGGGGCAATAATGATGATATGTAAAACCCACACAGGCCACTGAAATGTTTTAATTAATTCTTGACATTCATCAAGCTTATAGCTAATTAGTATTATGCTTGGAAACCAAGTTTCTATGGAGCAATTCAATCTGGGCATTAGATGTCCTAATGGCTGTTTTATAGTTTAATGCAGAGGTTAGTGTTCTTGCCTCGTGTGTCAGATACCTTTCTTTCATACACCTCTAATGGCTGGATGCAGTTCAATCAGATTAATGAAATAGCTGAATTAAATTAGTGACATATTTCAGCCCAATGAATCAGTCACAATTAAGTGTGGCTATAGCACCCGGACTGGTGCCCAACTATCTGGTAATCACTCATCGAGTCAGAACAAGGGCATCTATCAGTTAATAGCCAGAAGCTAAGTGCAATAACTCTCTGCCTGTTACTCGCTGCTGTCCTCTCCTATGCTGTAGTTAGCAACATATAAATGGACCAGGCTACAACATGAGAAGGGGATTCTTATCCTTGTAAGAAGAAAACACCTTGTTCAGCTTGCTGTTGAGAAAACATCACTGCAGTGTCAAAAGTAATACAAAGCTGTAACAATAAATGCACTCAGATAAAGAAGAAAATTGAACAATTTCATTACAGTTGATAGAGGCTTGTGAAATTTCTATTTCATTACAATTGACAGAGGTATGTGAAATTTCTGTTTAACTGCTGAAGAAGTATCTCACTTCCAGTGGTGTAAAACATCGGTCTGCTTTGTTAATAACCCCTAAACTCCAGCTATTACGATATTACTGGTGTGAGGAGACAAGATTAGAGAGCTGAGACATCACACTTAGCTTTACCAGTAGTGTGTTTCCACTCACACCACACCCAGCCACAGACTGTTTTCTGTTTTGTATACATACCAAGATAATCCCTTTTGGAAGCAAACAAAACAGCTCTTGTTTCTCTCAGAACCTGAGGCTCCGCAGAACACATCAGAGCTACTCAGAGCAGCTCAGCCTTTGAAGCCATTTCCATTTTTACCCAGCCAGGATGGCAAGGTTACGCTGGTGGACTGTGGAGCAGAGCAGAAGGGACACCTCCAGTTGTGCACCCACTGCCACAGAACCACAGAGGTTGCTGCCTTGGCTTTTCCCCCATAGGAAGCTGCATGGAGGGAACCTCCACACCTTGGTGCAAGCCCACTCATCTGTTCCCATGGATGTCAGCTAAAAACCAGGACTAAAAGCTGGGAATGAGAAAGCATCACCCTGCTGATAATTTCCTCTTCTAGTCTGCCCTTCAAAATATCAGAACTTGGTGGAGCAACAGATCTGATGATGACTTAGAAGATCTGGCAACACTACACAATTCATTGCTACCAGCCTGCTACCCTCTTGAATTAGCTGCAGGACATCACAAATTCTGTAAAGCCACCATCAGTATAATCTTAATAAAAGAAGCACTTGAGTAATTTTTTTAAAAAATATGTACTAAAAAATCTCAGACAAAATAATGCAGCAAATGAAATGAGAAAATATGCTTTAGAAAATTAAGGGCTCTTACTTAATACATAAAAGCTGCATTGATTTTTTGTTTGTTTTTTAATAAAGTAGATAAAATTGACAGAATAAAGTTAACCGGCTACATCTGCTTCCCAAGCAAATATTCATTGCATACTGCATTGAGGGATCTATACCTGATCAAGTTAAGACAGAAGATTTATAACAGTGCTCCATCCAAGCTAGTCAGCTGAACAGATTTAATTTACAAGTGTGACTTCAGATGGTGAATTTGAGAAGATGTGAGGTTAAACTCTAGGAGCCTATGGGGTGACACCAGATCCTTTAAACCTAACACTACTGAACCCTGACTCTCAGGTTTCATGTTGATGAAGAATGGCTTTTCCAGCATGGTGCTGTGAACACTCAGATGGATGCAGCAGCATTAACACCAGCAAGGAGTCTGTGAGACTCTCAGCATGATGGCTACAGAAATGAGAATTCTGCATTTGCTACAATTCATGATATGAAAGTGCATTAAAGCTGCCCATATGGAACCAGCTGCAGGGTGAGAAACTGGGACAAGAGCTTTCCGATCTGCACGATGCTAGCAGATCTGCACCCACTAAATGCGCTTTGACTGTCAACAGCACTCTTCTAAAACACAGTGCTCCAAATATGGTGATAGAACTTCATAGTACTGAGGCTGTGATAATTACAAAGAAAAAGGATGAAGGAAAATGGAAGTTAGCTAGATTTCATGCTGACTCCACATCATGCTTTATTATGAGAAACAATTTGGGTCTGTAGGACCCAAATCTAGGACGTTACTCTGAGAAGCCTGGAGAGCACAAATCCCATACTACTTGTTATATTTTAAAGAAAGGAATGGAAATATGTCGCTTTGTTGTTGCTCAGATTATTTTCCTGCTTTGCTATTTTTAACATTTTGAAGAAAATTTATCCGTTATCTTTTTTCTTAATCTTCTTTTCTCAAGTTTGGAGACTCTCCTCTATATTACTGATTACAAAGCACAGTGAATGAAATGAACATTAATGAAATGAACATTAATTAAAAGGCATAGTTTTGTGGCTTCCAGTACTGTTATCATTAGAAATTAACGTTAAAGGTGGACAGCAATTTCCATTTGTCTTATTTTTCAGTGCCTAATTTCCATGCCTTTCTGGGTTATTTGTGCTCAGCATTCATGTCATCAGTGCCAGAGCCTAAGAACTTATACTTACAGCATC